AGAGGAAGGAAAAAGGAAGGAAAGAGGGGGGAGGTGAGGGAGGCAAGGAAAGAAAGAAAAGAAAGAAGGAAAAAAAAGAAAGAAGGAAAGGCATTTAAATAGGAAAAGAAATTGTCTCTGTTTGTAGATGACATGATATTGTATATAGAAAACCGTAAGGACTTTACCATAAAACTGTTAGAACTAATTAATTAAGAAAAGCTGCAGGATACAAAATCATTATTCAAAAATCAGTTTATTTTTATATGCTAACAGCTGTAAGAAAAGAAAAAAACAATCCCATTTACAATAGTGTCACACCAAAAAAAAAAAAAAAAACTTAGGAAAAAAAGCCATAACTGAGAAGCTGAAAGATCTATACACTGAAAACTATACAACACTGGTGAAAGAAACCACTGACACAAATAAATAGAAAGATATCCTGTGTTTATGGATGGAAGAATTAATACAGCTAAAATATCCATATTACCCAAAGCAAATTACAGATTCAATGCAATCCTTAAATAGCGGGAAAAAGACCCTACAACTCATATGAAATCACAAAAGATTCTGAATAGCCAAAGCTACCTATGGAGTAAGAAAAACAAAGCTGGACACATCACACTATCTGATTTCAAAACATATTACAAAGCTATAGTAATTATAACAGTATAGTACTGGCATAAAAACAGACATATATACCAATAAAACAGCCCAGAAATAAATTCCCACATTATGTCCAATTCATTAATCCTTGGCAAAGGTGCCAGAAACGAACAGTAAGTAAAGGATAGTCTCTTCAATAAATGGTAATGGGAGAACTGGATATCCAAAGGCAGAATAATGAAATTGGAGACCCTTATCTCATACCATATTTTAAAAACCAACTCGAAATGTATTAAACACTTAAACATAAGAACTAAACAATAAAAATACTACGAGAAAAACATGAAAAAGAATTCTTGACACTGGTCTGGGCAATGATTTTTTTAAATATATAACTCCAAAAACACTGGCAGCAAAAGCAAAAATAAACAGATGAGATTGCATCAGACTAAAAAGCTTCCACACAGCAAAAGAAACAATTAACGGAGTGAAGAGAGTACCTATGAAATCAAAGAAAAGTATCTGCAAACCATACATTTGACAAGGGGCTAATATCCAAAATATACAAGGAACCCAAGCAATGTAATAGCAAGAAAACAACCTAATTAAAAAATTGCCGGGCGTGGTGGCTCACACCTGTAATCCTAGCACTTTGGGACCCACTTTGGGTGGATCACCTGAGGTCAGGAGTTCAAAACCAGCCTAGCCATCATGGTAAAGCCCCATCTTTAAAAAAAAAAAAAGAAAAGAAAAAAAATGGGCAAAGGACCTGAATAAACATTTATTGAAAGACACCTAAACAGCCAAGAAATTTAAGAAAACATGCTCAATACCACAAATCATTAGGGAAATACAAACAAAAGCCACAATGAAATATCGCCTCATACCTGTCGGCATGGCTATTATCAAAAAGATAAATGATAGCAAGTGTTGTTGAGGATGCAGAAAAAAGAGAATGCTTGTAAACTACTGGTAGGAATGTAAATTGGCACAGACATTATAAAAAACAGTATGGAAGTTCCTCAAAAAATTAAAAATAGAACAAGCATATGATCCAGCAATCCCACTTCTGGAGATATAGCCAAAAGAAATAAAGTCAGTATCTTGAAGACATATCTGCATTCCTATGTTCACTGCAACACTATTCACAAAATCCAAGATAAGGAATCAACAAAGGGGCCAATAATGAACATATACATAAAGAAAATGTGAGTTATACGCACGCACCCACACATACAGGAATATTATACCACCTTAAAAAGAAAGGAAATCGTGTCTTTGTGACACTTGGATGAACCTGGAAGACATTATGCTAAATGAAATAAGCCAGGCATAGAAAGACAAATACAGCATGATCTCATTTATATGCGAAATCTTAAAGAAAAAGTCAAACTCAGGATCAGAGAGTAGAAAGTAGAATGGAGGTTGCCAGGGGCTGGTGGGTGGGGGAAATTAGAAAATGTTGGCCAGCCAGGTGCAGTGGCTCACCCCTGTAATGCCAGCACTTTGGGAGGCTGAGGCGGGTGGATCACGAGGTCAAGAGATCGAGACCATCCTGGTCAACATGGTGAAACCCTGTCTCTACTAAAAATACAAAAAAATTAGGTGGGCATGATGGCGTGTGCCTGTAATCCCAGCTACTTAGGAGGCTGAGGCAGGAGAATTGCCTGAATCCAGGAGGCAGAGATCGCACCCCATTGCACTCCTAACAAGAGTGAAACTCCGTCTCAAAAAAAAAAAAAAAAAAGAGAAAATGTTGGCCAAAAGGTACAAGGTTTCAGTTATGCAGAATGAATAAGCTCTGGAGATCTAACATACAGCACTGTGACTACAGACAATACTGAGCTGAGTGCAGTGGCTCACGCCTGTAATCCCAGCAATTTGAGAGGCCGAGGTGGGTGGGTGGCTTGAGTTCACAAGTTCAAGACCAGCCTGGGCAACATGGCAAAACCCATCTCTACAAAAAATACAAACACTAGGTGTGATGGTGCATGACTGTGATCCCAGCTACTTGGAAGGCTGTGGTGGGAGGGTAGCTTGAGCCAGGGAAGCGGAGGTTGCAGTTAGCCAAGACTATGTCACCGCACTCCAGCCTAGGCAATAGAGCCAGACCTTGCTTCAAAAAAAGAAAAGAAAAAATGTGTGTGTTGTGTACACAAAATTTGTTAAGAGAGTAGATCTTCAATGTTCTTACTACTCTACTAAGTGAGGTAATGGGTATGTTAATTAGCCTGATTTTGGTAATCATTTCACAATGTATACACATATCAGAACATGTTGTACAATTTGAACATATATGATTTTTATTTGCCAAACATACCTCAATAAAGTTGAGGAGGGAAAGTCAAAGAAAAGCAAAACTACAACCCAAAGTCAGGTAGAGAACATAGTCTTTGCTGCCTTGGTGATGGTAGGATTTACTGTAGGTTTTACTGAATCCTTCTGATCTATATATTCCTTTAAACACCAGCTGCTAAAAGCATTTCCTTCCCCACATTTTCCATTTCCCTTAGTTACCCTTCCCCTACTCCTAAATACAAGACTCAAAGCAACAGGATCGATCTGTCAAGACTTTAAGGACCACTCATAAACAGCACTATGATCTTCCACGTGCAGAGTTATATAAATTACCCCTACCAACAAAGACAAGTCTCCTTGAAACATCTCCAAGCAGATATTATTCATTTGCCAAGAAAAAAATTTTCCTGTATAGTAAAAAGACAATTATTCTACCTAGACTACACAGAACCACGAAAAAGGCACAAATCTTTTTCTTCCATATTCAAATACCTTTTGCTTACTTGAAACTTCAACCAAATCAAAAAGTTTGTTTGTATCAAGTGGATAAATCTAAGCATTTATGTAATAGAAAGATTTCACCACAGAAAAAAGTCTTTCAGCAATAACAGTGTTTCACTGGTTATAATATAGGTACTATGCCTTAAATGCCTCTCAGAAAATTAAATGTCTACGTTTATACTGCCTGAAATTCCAGCAATCATCATTTTAACAAAAAGGCCCTCTTTGATATTTTAGTTTCTTTTTTTATAAGAGTAACTTAGTTTTCATGCAGAATTAGTACCAATACTACTTTTGAAGAAAATAACTTTCGTATAAATTTGAAATCTTTACTACTTTGTGCATTTTCGACCATGTGCCACTTGGCAATATCATTTTCATAAATAAACTGCACAAGCCAACGGTGCCAAAAGCCCAAGCATGTAAATGCTGAAGTGAACCAGTTCCCCCACACATTTCATTTTCTTTGTCCCTTTTATTTATATGCACTGCACATAAATAAAGCTGAGTCTCCTTCATGCTCACCAAATGACAACATGCATTTTAAATAGGAAAATATGATATAAATTAAAATGTAGCAGACACAAAGAAACCTCTCTTTTACATTATTCATAAAAAGATTTTGTTGGCTATTGGCATGAGTAATATAAACCATCATCACTCGGTTCAACATTCTGTATACTCCTAACTTATCTCAACTATAATAGAGACATATGCATAAACAGGAATATTTTTTAAACCAATAAATTCTTGGCATCTTTGCACAAATGCTCAAAAGAGTGACAAAACAGGTTACTTAACATAAAATACATTAAGTCCTCGACTGGGCACAGTGGCTCATGCCTGTAATCCCAACACTTTGGAGGCCAAGGCAGGAGGATCACCTGAGCCCAGGAGTTCGAGACCAGCCTGGGCAACAATGACAAGCTCCCATCTCTAATTTAATTTTTAAAATAACAAATAAAAAAATAATAAATAAGCCCTCAAGGAATCAGCTTATGAACCCTTATGTGAGCAAAAGTCATCATTTTAGAGCTATTTGAATAGAGAAACCAATCACATATCCAAGCCAAGATTTAAGTCATTTACTTCCCAAACTAAGAGAAATCATCTAAACAAAACCTTTTTTTTAAAAAAAAAAGACGGTTTCACCATGTTAGCCAGGATGGTCTCAATCTCCTGACCTTGTGATCTACCTTCCTCAGCCTCCCAAAGTGCTGGGATTACACACGTGAGCTACCATGCCCGGCAAAACCTTTTTTTTTTGAGACGGAGTCTCGCTGTTGTTATCCAGACTGGAGTGCAATGGCGATCCTGGCTCACTGCAACCCCGCCTCCCAGGTTTGAGCAATTCTCCAGCCTCAGCCTCCCGAGTAGCTGGGACTACAGGCATGCACCACCATGCCCCAGCTAATTTTTGTATTTTTAGTAGAGATGGGGTTTCACCTTGTTGACCAAGATGGTCTCGATCTTTTGACCTTGTGATCCACCCGCCTCGGCCTCCCAAAGTGCTGAGATTATAGGCGTGAGCCACCACGCCTGACCCCAGCAAAACCTTTCTATTTCAAAATAGTAATAGAAAGGTCTGTCTGGTAAGCTTGCAAGCATTGTAATACCTGGTTCAGAGAAAGTATCACTAATATCATCGTCCTTGTCATCTTCATAATCCTCTTCTTCTTCTTCCTCCTCCTCATTTTCAGACAGTTCATGCTCACTGCCAAATCCTTCATCATGGTCCTCATCATCAATATCTTCCTCATCTTCCTCATCTTCTTCAGGACTGCATTTGGTTGGATGTTCACTCAAGTTGTCAGAGACAAAAAGAGAATAATTGTGCTCTTCTTTTTTCTGGGATGAATCTGAGACTGATGTACTGGCAGAAAGGCTGCTACTCTCTCCTGCTGCGATTGATCCAGGACCTTCCTGGGGCAGGGGACTGAGTAACAGTTCCTGGGTTTCTTTAAAAGGCAAAGCGGGAGTGACATGACCTTGAAGAGGCTCCATCCCTTTCTTCTCTTGTCTCTTTGCTACTGCACCACAGTAGCAGGTGTTCTCCTTTGCTGCATCTTTGTGAACCTGGCTCAACAAGGGTCGGCTCTGCTGCACTGGGTTGATCTTTACTTTTGCCTTTTTTACATAGTCTTTACATTCAACATGAAAGTTCACCTTTTCATTATGATACATGTTGGTCTTCACCATGATCTGTGTGCTTGAAGTGGGTTTACTTGCTTTCTGGACACAGTCTGACAAAGGGACCTCAGCCTGCAGAGTCTTAGAAGAACACACAGGAGCAGCTGCTCTGCTTGTGATCTTTTTACCAGGAAATGAAGAGGGTAAGGGATTTTGTTTGACACTAAAAAGTGAATCTGGGTAATAAAGGGAATCAGAAACGGACTGTGAGTCCTCACTATTAAGTTGAGCTAAAGTTGGAGTTTTACTTATAACCTCTTCATCTTGGTAAGGACTAGAAAAGTCATCAAGACCCAAGTAATCCACTTCTTTTGTTCCCCAGATGTCACAGTTGGTTAGTTTGGTATACTTTGTTAAGTCTTCACAGTATGTATCCCACTGTTCCCAGTTTGAGGTTAAAGCACCCTCATTATCCAGGACATCTGTGAAAGACTCCAGATTTTCAATGTCTTTGCAATCCTCCAAAGAAAGAAAGTTGTCTCTAGGATTCTGTTGGTAGTTCATCTCTCTATCCTGAAAAAGGTTTTAAAAAAGAAATTTCACATCATATTTTAAGAAGGAAATATGTACCTCCATATATCAAATTGATAAATCAACACTTTACTTTTGGTCTGTTTTAACATAAAAGCTACTGACATGAAACTTTATTATCATTTCCTTAGGCAAGAAAAAGAAGAGTAAAAATAAAACAAATGAAAAACAATTAAAAATTAAATTTAAAAAAGAGGGAAAGTGGGTCCCTTGAGAGGCTCAGGTATGATCCAAATATCAAGAGCTCTTGAGTTTTACCATAAACATTCTTCCTAAAAAAAGTTTCCATTTCTTGATATTAGAAGGATTTTGGAATCTCCTTAGTGGCAGGGGGTGGGGGGAGCTTCAATTAAACAGCAAACAATGTAACATGTGAGAGAGAAGAATTTAAAATAGTAATAAAAATGAAAAATAAACAAAAAAGCAAATAATGAAGACAACTTCATTAAAGAAGATGTCTTAAGTGGGAACTTAATATGGAAGCAAAGAGCAATCTAAAGAGAGTTGGAATTCAGCCACAGAATGGTAAGACCTTTTCAAAACCTTATAACAACACTTGGGCAGGCAGAGTAAAATACTCTTCACGAATTTTAGGGATATAATGTTGTTTTTTTGTATTTTTATACAGATGAGTTTTCACCATGTTGGCCAGACTGGTCTCAAACTCATGACCTCAAGTGATCCACCCACCTTGGCCGCCCAAAGTGCTGAGATTACAGGCGTGTGCCACTGGAGATGTCAATTTCAAATACCAGTTAAGACTCTGAAGCCACTGAAATGAATGCAGCTTAGCTCTTAATGTACAAAAAAAAAAGACTGCCTACTACGTGTGTGTGTGTGTGTGTGTGTGTGTGTGTGTGTGTGTGTGTGTGTGTTTTAAATAGAGTCTTGCTCTGTTGCCCAGGCTGGAGGGCAGTGGCACGATCTTGGCTCACTGCAACCTCCGCCTCCCGCTTCAAGTGATTCTCCTGCCTCAGCCTCCCAAGTAGCTGAGACTACAGGCACATACCACCATGCCTGGATAATTTTTTTTTTTGTATTTTTAGTAGAGACAGGGTTTCACCATGTTAGCCAGGATGGTCTCAATCTCTTGACCTCATGATCTGACCACCTCAGCCTCCCAAAGTGCTGGGATTACAGGTGTGAGCCACTACACCCAGCCATTTTTATTTTTAAAAGAGCAAGTTACAGAAAACTGTTAACTATATTATCCAATTAAAAAGTATATACAGGCCGGACATGGTGGTTTACGCCTGTAATCCCAGCACTTTGGGAGGCCGAGGCTGGTGGATCATCAGAGGTCGGGAGTTCAAGACCAGCCTGACCAACATGGAGAAACACCATGTCTACTAAAAATACAAAATTAGCCAGGTGTGGTGGCGCATCACTGCAATCCCAGCCATCAGAAGGCTGAATGAAGGAGGAGAATCACTTGAACCCCAGAAGGCAGAGGTTGCAATGAGCCAAGATTACGCCATTGCATTCCAGCCAGGGCAACAAGAGTGAACCTGTCTCAAAAAAAAAGTATATGCCAAAAAAAAAGCATATACATATGTTTAGTTATATTTTGATCAAAGATTTGGAGGATGGGGCTACTGGAAGAAAATGAGGAAAATTTCAGTCTTCCAGAGTTAATTTTTTTTTTTTTTTTTTTTGAGGCAGAATCTCAATTTGTTGCCCAGGCTGGAGTGCAATGGCGGAATCTCAATATCTTGAACCCTTCACCTCCCGGGTTCAAGATATTTCCTGCCTCAGCCTCCGAGTAACTAGGATGACAGGTGCCTGCCACCACACCCAGCTACTTTTTGTATTTTTAGTAGAGATGGGGTTTTACTGCATTGGGCAGGATGGTCTCAATCTCTTGACCTTGTGATCCACTCACCCTGGCCTCCCAAAGTGCTGGGATTACAGGCGTGGGCCACCACACCCAGCCCCAATTCAATAATTTTTAGTAGATTTATGCATTTGAGCATTCAGTTTTCTAGTTTTTATATATTTCTGTGTTGCTTCAATTTTATGTATTTAAAACAGTTCTAAAATGTTTCTCTTATGAATTTTAAGTGTCTATTTCCCTCAAGAATAAATATAAGTATATTCAGATCCTGCTTGGAATTGCTATTTTTGTGTCACATTCTTTATGTCACATGCCTTGCTCAATGTTATTATTCCATAGTTTCCTGCTGAAAAGTCCTTTAGCCTTTAGACACAGAGAAAAAAAAAGTTGCCTATTCTCTTTATCAAAAACTAGATCTGAAGATATTTAGATAATCTTTTACCATTTTTGATGGGTTCATGCACACTTTTAAAATTACTAGATGTATGCCAGGTGCAATGGCTCATGCCTATAATCCCAGCACTTTGGAGGCCGAGGCGGGCGATCACCTAAGGTCAGAAGTTTGAGACCAGCCTGGCCAACATGGTGAAACCCCGTCTCCACTAAAAATACAAAAATTAACTGTATGTGGTGACACATGCCTGTAATCCCAGTTACCTGGGAGGCTGAGGCAGGAGAATCACTTGAACCTCGGAGGCAGAGATTGCGGTGAGCCAACATTGTGCCACTGCACTCCAGCCTGGGTGACAGAGTGAGACTCTGTCTCAAAAAAAATGAAAATAAAAATTAATAAATAAAATTACTAGATATATAATCATAAGAATTAAACTTGTCCCAAGCACTTTTTTTTTTCTTTTCAGGCATTTATAAATAAAAAACTCTCCCACAAACTTTTACCCCAAATCAATCAAGACCAACACCAAGAAAATGTTGCTTACCAGTTCATACATGAAATCTGGATCTGAACTGTTTGCTAAGAGATCTGTGCTCATCAGAGTTTGTTCCGAAAAGGTGTGGCTTCGAAAGGCATCCCCAAAAGGCGGATCCATTCCGCTTACACTAGGCTACAACAGAGTGATTTTTATTTTAGAAAGTTAAAGATTACTTTGAGACCAATTTATCACATATGAGCCCCAAGTCTACTCCCACTAAGTAACTTATTCTTTTCAGAAAACACTTCTATATTTTTCCTACTGTATAGTATATTTAAGAGCTTTGGCTAGCATTAAACTGTAGACTTAAATTAGGAAAATACCCAAAAATAGAAAAAAATAGAGTGCTGACAATGCCCTGGTGGATAAGTGAAGGTCAACATCAGATTTGAAATATTTACAGTGGATACAAAACTATTTCAGCAATGAGGACAATTAAGTGGGTGATGGTGCTGTTGGTAAAACATGTCTCCTGATATCCTACACAACAAATTTCCAAGTACACCCAATAATGTACTGACTGTTTTTGACAACCATGCAGTCACAGTTATGATTGGTGGAGAACCATATACTCTCGGACTTTTTGATACTGCAGGGCAAGAGGATTATGACGGATTAGGACCACTGAGTTATTCACAAATAGATGTATTTCTAGTCTGTTTTTCAGCAGTCTCTCCATCTCCATTTGAAAATGTAAAAGAAAACTGGGTGCCTGAGATAACTCACCACTGTCCAAAGACTCCCTTCTTGCTTGTTGGGGCCTACACTGATCTCAGAGATGATCCCTCTACAATTGAGAAACTTGCCAAGAACAAACAGGATGTCACTCCAGAAACCGCTAAAAAGCTGGCCCATGACCTGAAGGCTGTCAGGTATGTGAAAGTGTTCTGCACTCACACAGAAAGGCCTGAAGAATGTATTTGATGGCCAGGCACAGTGGCTCACATCTGTAATCCCACCACTTTGGGAGGTCAAGGCAGGTGGGTCACCTGAGATCAGGAGTTTGAGATCAGCCTGACCAGCATGGTGAAACCCCATCTCTACTCAAAATACAAAGATTAGCCAGGCATGATGGCGAGCGCCTGTAATCCCAGCTACTTGGGAGGCTGAGGCAGAAGAATCACTTGAACCTGAGAGGCAGAGTTTGCAGTAAGTCAAGATCGCACCATTGCACTCTAGTCTGAGTGACAAGAACGAAATTCCTTCTCAAAAAAAAAAAAACAAAAAAAAACATATTTGACAAAACAATATCGGCTGCCCTGGAGCCTCCAGAATCAAAGAAGAGCCGCAGGTGTGTGCTGCTATGAACATCTCTCCAGAGCCCTTTCTGCACAGCTGGTGTCGGCATCATACTAAAAGTAATGTTTAAATCAAACTAAAGATTAAAAATTAAATTCAGGCTGAGCATCACTATCTAGTACAACCAATGCCTGCAGGAACATAATGGAAACAGAATCAACTAAATACTAAAAAATCTCCTTGGTAAGACCAGTAACTTGGGCATGAGTTGTGTAGCCTTAATCCTGATTCCTGAAAAGGGCACAGTCCATTCCATAATAATTAAAGGGGAAAAAAAGTCCTGAGACCCAGCATTAATTCTCCTTCTTATTTTTTTCTCCATCTTCTTTTTACATTTTAATATCTATATGAATCCCTTCAGAGTCAAGTCTGGGCTCACCCTCCTAAAGTGGGTCAAATAGTAGAAAGGCCTCACTTTGAAATCTAAGATGAAGGAAGAGAATGAGAAAGAATTTTTCTTGTTATTTATTTTTTTAACCAAATCCAAATGAGTTAAGAGAAAGAATTTTTTTTTAAGTTTTTTTTTTGTTTATGTTTTTTTTGGTGAGACATATTCTCACTCTGTCACCCAGGCTGGAGTGCAGTGGCACAATCTCAGCTCACTGCAACCTCCGCTTCCCAGGTTCAAGTAATTATTCTGCCTGAGTTTCTCAAATAGCTGGGACTACCGGCATGTGCTACCACGTCCAGTTAATTTTTGTATCTTTTAGCAGAGATGAGGTTTCACTATATGTTGGCCAGGCTGGTCTCGAACTCCTGACTTCAAGTGATCCACCTGCCTTAGCTTCCCAAAGTACTGGGATTATAAGCATGAGCCACTGTGCCAAGCCAAAAATTTTTTTTTAGTTTTTCTGTTTTTTTTTTGTTTGTTTGTTTGTTTTGAAACGGAGTTTTGCTGTTGTTACCCAGACTGAAGTGCAATGGCACGATCTCAGCTCACTGCAACCTCTGCTTCCTGGGTTCAAGCAATTCTCCTGCCTCAGACTCCCGAGTAGCTGGGACTACAGGCGCGCACCACCACGCCCAGCTAATTTTTGTATTTTTAGTAGAGACGGGGTTTCATCTTGTTGACCAGGATGGTCTCGATCTGTTGACCTCGTGATCCACCCACCTCAGCCTCCCAAAGTGCTGGGATTATAGGCGTGAGCCACCGCGCCCGACTCTAGTTTTTCTGTTTTTGCAAGTTTCTGCAGAGTGTTTTTAAATGGTATTAATCCATTTGCTCATTCCTTTTGTATACTTTTTATCTTCCACAAACTGGCCTTTTCACTTTCTCATCATATTTTTCTTCATTGGTACTTCCCATCTCATTTTTCTTTTTTCTTTTTTTTTTTTTTTTTTTTTTGAGACGGAGTTTCGCTCTTGTTACCCAGGCTGGAGTGCAATGGCGCGATCTCGGCTCACGGCAACCTCCGCCCCCTGGGTTCAGGCAATTCTCCTGCCTCAGCCTCCTGAGTAGCTGGGATTACAGGCATGCGCCACCGTGCCCAGCTAATTTTTTGTAATTTTTAGTAGAGACGGGGTTTCACCATGTTGACCAGGATGGTCTCGATCTGTTGACCTCGTGATCCACCCGCCTCGGCCTCCCAAAGTGCTGGGATTACAGGTTTGAGCCACCGCACCCGGCCCCCATCTCATTTTATTTTTATTTCTCTTATCTTCTCCCAACACTTCCAGGCCTACAGGACCTTTCTTCCTAGAAAAAGTTAGCTTGAGAAAATAAGTTTAAAATTTAAGCCCCAAATGCAAGTACTCAATAAATATAAAACTAAACCTTGAATGGACAACCACTGTAAATGGGCATAAGCAGTCCATCTGTCACAGAGGTTGGGGTGGCAGTAGGCCGCTGGTCTGGTCTTTTTTTTTTTCTCCAGACAGAGTCTCACTCTGTCTCCAGGCTGGAGTGCAGTGGCACGATATCGGCTCACTGCAACCTCCGCCTCCTGGGTTCAAGTGATTCTCCTTCCTCAGCCTCCCGAGTAGCTGGGATTACAGCCACATATGCCATCACATCCAGCTAATTTTTGTATTTTTAGTAGAGATTGGGTTTCACCATGTTGGCCAGGATGGTCTCAATCTCCTTACCTCGCAATCCACCCATTTCAGCCTCCAAAAGTGCTGGGATTACAGCTGTGAGCCACCATGCCCAGCCAGCTGCTGGTCTTTTCAATATCTATTACCAAGTTCCCTTTCTTTGCCTTTTCTGCCTGTCTCCAAGTCACCAAACAAACCCAGCAAATTGTTGATTCCCTGTGCTCAAGGGATAGCTCAGTATGGTAATACAAAAAGCCACCCAAGAGTCCCTACCCACTCATTACTTCTAGGTTTCTCCCCACCACTGAAACAAACAGGGGAGGGGCAAGAGCTAACCACTGGAGAAGAAACGGAGTTTAGGTAAGTAGAATAGGGACTAACAGGGCTTCACTGATTGTCTCAGTGATTGCCTCAAACCAAAACTGATCAATTCAGAGTAGTTGCCATATATAAACAGATATAATCATTCTTAGATATATTTCGTGAGGAAGTATTTACATGTGCCCACATATGTATGTGTGTGTGTCTATGAGAAAGAGAGAGATGAGCACAGTGGCTCACACCTGTAATCCCAGCATTTTGGGAGGCTGAGGCAGGTAGATCATGAGATCAAGAGATCGAGACCATTCATTCTGGCCAACATGGTGAAACTCCATCTCTACTAAAAATACAAAAATTAGCTGGGCATGGTGGTGTGCACCTGTAGTCTCGGCTACTTGGGAGGCTGAGGCAGGAGAATCGCTTGAACCTGGGAGGGGGAGGCAGAGGTTGCAGTGAGCTGTCTCAAAAAAAAAAAAAAAAAAAAAAACGAGAGAGAAAGAGAGAGAGATGAGAGGGGTAAAGGGAGGGAGCCTGAAGTCTCTATGTCCTCTTAATTATTTCTAAATTCAGCTGGCATAAACGAAAGGTAAGAATTGGGAAATAGGGAGAGTGAGGAGATAGAAATGGGATTGCTGTGGCAGATTAATTTTCAGGGTAGTTGGTTTTACCCCATAAAGCCAGCAGATCTGTCCACCTTCTACCTGTTCATCATACTACCTGTGTAGAACTCATTAAACTTCAGGTGATAGCAAAATAAAAAATAGAAAGCAACAGAAGAAAGAACATGTACTCAAAACTAGATGAGATCAGAAATAAGATATCTGAAAAAGGTAGTATGCAAAGTCGTGTTAAGATGTAAAAATTTATAGAACCAACGGTTTTGACTTTCTGTAGTGGGAAAATACAAAACTTTGCACCTACTCTGTATGATTTACCTGAGGCATTTCCAAGCCCAGATCTTGTGAATCCGATTCCAAACTTCTTTTTTTTCTTGTTTGTAAATTCCTTTCCAGCTTTCCTTTTAATTCCAAGACCAAAGATGATTTTCACAATAAACAGCAGGTTTCCCCAGAGTGCTTCCAACTCAACTGCTTAGATCACCACTTTTATTTTTCAGTAACTCTGTGCGATGTGGTCTGTCAAACAACACAAAGTAACTTCACTGAGTTCCATTAAAAACAAGTTGACTTTTCAAAAAAGAGGCTGACTTTTCAAAAACAATGTTAACAGAGAATACTGTGCTTTAAATGAGTAAGTCTTATGGTTGAGTTATCAAGGATTTGGTCACATCTTAATACTGACTATTCTGTAATTTACCATTCCTCGTCTTGTATTTTTCTAAAATAGAGTTGGTAAATAACAAATTGGCAACACTAAAAAAAAACCACAAAATTATCATAGGCTCATTTTTTCTGTGATCTGAAAGATGTAATATACTGATTTTTAAAGTCAAATTCATTCACTTTATGTTCTTTATGAGAAAACCTATCTCAAATTTTAACTCCATCTATTGTATAATCATTACTGCTAAATTAATCTACATTTTATGTCTCTCATAAGTCAACAGGAAGAGTAATGAATACATAATAGTCAGCAATGGAACTTAACATATCATCTACATTAAATAAAATCACATTTGTAATGGTATATCCCAACATTATTCTTTCAGTTATAAGTAAAAGCTGTCACTGAAGAAAGAATTATTCTAGCAAGTTTTTAATAGGAGTATGTTTGAGGGAAAATGGGTCGAGGACTACTTTGCGGAGTGATTTCAAGCATTAAGTTAAACAATGACTACCAAATCATCTGGCACAGGATGATTCTGACAGAGTAGAGGCTTAAATGTTAATGTTTTCTCCCTTCCCTGTGAAGACCTTAATCAGGAGGAACTAAACAGTTATACTTGCTTCATCTTCTTGTCCTCGATCAGTGGGTCTCAAAAGTGCGATCCAAGGACCAGCAGTACCAACAACAGCATCAACCTATTGTCCAAAATGCAAAATCAAAACAGAACCTCTAAAAGTGGGTACCAACAATGTTTTATAATAAGTCCTCCAGGTGATTCTGGTCCTCTCTAAAGTTCTGAGAACCACTGTCCTATCCTTGATCTAATTCAGTCTAAATGCAGTGTCACTTCTTACATTGGTAAAGAGTCAATTTACACTGAATTTGCCTTCTGAAGTCAGCACATTGTCTGGGTTAGAGTGGTACATTATATTAATTCTTTTTTTTTTTTTTTTTTTTTTTTTTTTTTTGAGATAGAGTCTTGCTCTGTCACCCAGGTTAGAATGTAGTGGCCCAATCTGGCTCACTGTAACCTCCACCTCCGGAGTTCAAGTAATTATCCTACCTCAGCCTCCCGAGTAGCTGAGATTATACAGGCATGCAACACTATGCCCGGCTAATTTTTGTATGTTTAGTAGAGATGGAGGTTTTACCATGTTGGCCAGGCTGTTCTCAAACTCCTGACCTCAAGTGATCTGCCTGCCTCAGCCTCCCAAAGTGCTGGGATTACAGGAGATCATATTAATTTCAAAGAGCTCGATTAAGAGATAGTGTCAACAAGGGACCCAATAATTGTTCTACTTAATTAGATTAATAAACTGACTAAAATTTGTATTTCCTGGATCTTTGCTGCACTCTCTCCTCCAGTGAGCTGTGATTCCCAGCTCACTGGACTAATGTAGGAAACGAAAGGATGTCAAAGTGCCCAGCCTGGGCCTAGAAATAAAGTTAACTATGCTTTTCAATTCAGTGCTACAGTGTAACTAGATTGCACCCTGTTCCTGCCAAAGGCCAGTTCTTGCTCAGTTTCTCCTTACATGACCTCATGCTATCATCCTACAACTGGTATATAGTCATAGTCATTGCCCTAATTCTCTCCCCTGATTCCTGTGAGAAGAAAGATCAGTCACCTTTTCTAGATCTATGACTTAGGCCCCCCCAAATGGCATCCAATTAAAGTCATGTGTTCAAATAAAGTGGACCAGTATAATATTGGTATAAAACCTGGATCTGGAAGAAAAGTTTGATGTCCTTGAAAATCTAAAATCTTAACCTTACTAGATAGGGTTGGCCGGGCACAGTGGCTCACAGCTATAACCCCAGCACTTTGGGAGGCTGAGGCAGGTGGATCACTTATTAGCCAGGCATGGTGGCACGCACCTGTAGTCTCTGCTATTTGGGAGGCTGAGGCACAAGAATCGCTTGAACCCAGGAGGCAGAGGTTGCAGTGAGCTGGTATAGTGCCCCTGCACTCCAGCCTGGATGACAGGGAGTGAAACTGTCTCAAAAAAATTAAAATATTTTTAAAAGTTAAAAAAAAAATAGGATTGAAGACTCAGGAAGAGAATGAGTTCTGTTCAATATATAATTATTGGCATCTAGTAAAGATATTATCTACCAGAATCTTGGTTTCTCAGGGAAATGGTGGACAAAAAAGGGCTAAATTCTAGTCACAGCTCTCACCTGCAAAGTATACAACACTAGGTAAGGTCATCTTTCTAAGCCTAATTTTTCTGATCTTAAGGGAAAAAGCAATACTCTTTCCTGGCCATTTAATTATCTAAGCCATAAAACTTCAATACAAATACATGTATTTATTTTAAAATGTATTTAAACACATCAAAACAAACTTCAGTAAATGCAGTTAGCAAAAAGAGCAATTGTTTAGGAGACCTGGATTCCAGGTTTGATCCCGTAATTGAAACAGCCATATGAATTACAGCACATTTGTTAAGTTTATGCCTTAACTCCCAGATCAGAGAATACTTATACTATGTAATACAAATGTTATGAGAATGAATGAGATAGTACACTAAGATAAGTACACTAAGATGTAGTAATAAAATTAATTTGGAAAGGTGATTATCATCAACAGGTATATTGTGCCATGCTTTGTTTTTTTGTTTGTTTTTTTTTTTTCATTATTTGTCCCACAGCTAGTCTAGCTCAGAAGCTCAACACCTGTGGTAACTGTTAGCACTAGGACTAAATGTTTTCAAGGCACTGATTCCCAGAGAGATCTACCAAGTAACAGGTTGAGCTCTTTCACCTAGTTGTTTCTCCTAGTCTTGCAAGTGGCAGCAAACAGGACAGGGAAAGGACCAATTCTACTCTATGCCATGGAACTCCTTTTCAGTGATAAACTCTCCCAGTCTCTAAAATTAATGAGACAACTTCACAACAAACTATCTTCATCCCCAACATTTTGCACCCATTTTCTAGAAATGCTTAGCTTCGTACTCTTCCAAAACATTTATTGCAACACAACCACAAAGAACAAAATTGCCCACCCAAAAGTAAAAGAAGAAAAAAATTTTCTATAGAAATTGCCATTACATAGCATCTTCCATAATGACAGACTACTCAAAAACTACATGCTGTACCAGCAAACCATATGCAAAGGGCACATTAATATTTAAAAAGCAGAATAATAACAATGAGGAAGAAGGTGTAACAACTTGCTTTTCAGGATGCCTTTACACTATCTTTGCACTCAAGAATATCTGTATTTTACTTGAAGCTTTGATATTAAAATACATCAAAAGCAATGGTCTAATAGCCTGGCACCATGGTGTATGCCTGTAGTCCCAGCTACTGAGGCTGAGACAGGAGGATTGCTTGAGCCCAGGAGTTCGAGTCCAGCTTGGGCAAAACATGTTATACAAGATAAAAGACCCTGTCTTAATTTTTTAAAATAAAAATAAATACAAAATTAAATTTAAAAAGCAGTCATCTAATTTCCCAAAGTGTGAACCAAGGAATATTTGTTCCAAAGAATAGTCAATGGTTACTCAACAATAGGGTCACGACGTTTGAAAAACACATTAAACAAAGCTGTATACTGTCTTTACTACCGGACTTCCTGGAAATACTGTGTTAATGTGTTTCATAAATCACCAAACGATGAGTATACCAGATACCATTTCCTAAATTTATTTGATCATTAAATCTTCCACCCTGACCTGAAGCCTACTTCAAGATTTGTATTTCTTCCAGAGAAGTTGGGGAAAAAAGGGAAAGGCTAAATTCCTCTAGTTGTTGCCTTCTTTGATTCACAGCACTGGTTCACCAGTTCCCAATACAATTTTTGTTTTTGGTTTTTTCTTTTGAGATGGAGTTTTACTCTTGTCACCCAGGTTGGAGTGCAATGGCATGATCTTGGCTCACTGCAACCTCTCTGCCTCCTAGGTCCAAGTGATTTTCCTGCCTCAGCCTCCCAAGTAACTGGGACAGGCATGCACCACCACACTAAGCTAATTTTTGTATTTTTAGCAGAGACGAAGTTTCATCATGTTGACTAGGCTGGTCTCGAACTCCTGACCTCAGGTTATCCACCCACCTCAGCTTCCCAAAATGCTGGGATTAGAGAAGTGAGCCATCACACCCTACCCCCAATACAGTTTTTATGAGTTTTTCAAGGGAGGACGTGGTACATTAGAAATATTATTTATCAGTAGATTTCCTGTACCTGAGCTCATTCAAAAATAAACAACAGAAGCTGTTAGGCAGAGAAAGATACTCCTGTAACAGAACTAGATCCTAGATGGCTAAAGCAATCAATGAGGAGGAACACATGATTTTTTGGCTGCGATGGTACCACCTGAAGACAGCCACAACTTCAAATTCTTATATAGCCCCTTTCTGCCAGGTCTTACCCTGGGTTTTTGGGTTTTGTTTCTGTTTTGTTTTGTTGTCTCTGTTTGAACATACACAAGATAAAAGATAAAGTAAGATAATAGGTACAATCTTCTTCCAAAAAGCTTATCCCTAGAACTGCCGAAATAAGTAATAAAAACTTTAAAAGTCAAACCCAAGAATTGACTGGTGTGTCCTGGCAGCTTACATGTATTCAAGAGCTCCTAAATTATGCTCTTTCTGAATCTGAGAGTTTCAGCTAATCCCTGAGTCTACATATAAAGAAAAGGTTCACATCAAGAAATAAATAAACCTCTTTTAAAATTGAGTATTTTAAGAATAAGCAGATGCTGTATATGATGGCTAGAATCCCTGCAGCTCCCCTTTTATATGAAACTGGCTTAGGCCATTGGCCCCTTTTAGTAACTTAAGGAGACTGGTTCCTCACAACAGTAAGTAGCTCTTCTGAGTCATCTAACATTCATCAGAGTAAATG